CGTACGATGGGAGACAATCATTTAATCGATCATTATATAGGTTACTTTACTAGATCGGAACAATTAACATCTATAATGGAAACTCAAATAGCTCCCCACAGCTAGAAAGGGCTAAAGGACATAAGACAGTTAAAAATGTCGTACACTAAGTATATAGAGGAGCGGAATAACCAAAAAAAAAATCAAATTTAAATAACTAGTAATAAGAAATTTATGAGAGACGAAAAATATAGGATATAACCTCTGATGAGCTTTCATGCTGTTCAACAAATGCTTTCGACATCTGCAAAAGCATAACAGAAAGTATGATTACACACACACAAATTTGACAATATGCTTGATGCTTAAGAAACACGTGTTATATTTACCATGTTAAAATCGGAAGTCTGATTTACAGTCCCATTGTCTGATACTGAGGCCCGAGGTGAGGAACCTTCCTCTGACCCTTCTCGCACTGGTGAAGGTGGCTGAGGTGGCGGAACATAAACGACTCTCAACTTGGATTCATCAACTTGATTTCCCGACTCTTTGTTGAACTGATGACACACAGATCAGGTGAATACGTAAGTTTCACCATATTTTACAAAATAGTAATTAAACAGTGACCAATTGATCTACTTTAACAGTGAATCCTGCAAAAAGAATGTTATAATTACCATTTCAGGAGTAATATCCTTTGCGGTAAGTCCAGAAGCGACCACTACGCTTTGGAGGAGAAATTTATCCCTGCATTGCATGTCTGGTGGAGCCTCCTTTTGGGCTTGCATTGTAACTGAATCAACAAACGGCATATGAATTGACTACAGAATACTATGCAAGTATGCAGTATTGAATAAATCCGATTAATCATTTCCAATCTTTAATACCTTAAATTAGCTAAATATACAAACTTCAGTTGATATGTACATGTATATGATACACACGCACACACACATCGTGTGTGTGTGTGTGTGTGTGTGTGTGTGTGTGTGTGTGTGTGTGAGAGAGAGAGAGAGAGACCTGTGACATCACAATTAGAGTGAGGCAGCACTACCCCTGTGTTCGGCCTCACACAGTACTTCTTCGGATTCGTAGTTTTCACCTGAATATTCAAAAGATCAAGTAAAATTCAGATACTTCTACCTTTCAAAGGCGTTTCTTTTATATATTTTTTCAAAAAATCCCCACAGATAATAGAAACATTTTTTTTTTACCTTGAATGCAACAGGATTATCAGACTTGTTGGTTAATTGCATGGAACATGAGATCTGCTTCTTCAATTCGACTATTGCAGAACACAAACGGAAAACAAATCAATTAAAATAATTAAAAAAATCCAAAGCACAGATCTAAAAGAAACAGAATCAAATTCAAGTTTCGTCTAGCATTTTCCCCCAATCCATAGAATCGTCTAGAAGTGATAATTGAAACGAAAAAACACAAATAGCATAAAATTCAGAAGAAAAAAAATTGTACGTACACGGGAATTGAAGTTCGAGTGGCTCAATTTGGAGGAGATCGCCGTTGCTCATTTTAAAGCCGATCGCTGATCTATCCGCCGGAGAACTGATCGTACAATTGTTTCCGGTGACGTCGGAGCTGTTTACCGGCGGCGGAGATTGATTTGGGGCACCGTAACACAGCCAAAAGGGAGATTAATTGAGAGAAGAATAGAGATCTGGGTAATCGAATTTTTTGCCAATTCTGCCTTGGCTTTTTGCAGTTTCAGAGAGAGAGAGAGAGAGGAAAAATAAATAATGGCAAACGTGTAAAGTGTAGAGTGTCTCTAGTAAAATAGGCAAATTATTTTGGGTTTATTTCACTTTGCTCCCCTAAATATTTTGAACTTGACATTTAGGCCTTCAAACTACAAACATATACATATTACCCCCTTATTCTAATTGTTTCCCTCTTTTTTTTTTCATTTTTTCTTTTTCAAATATTTGAAAACATGGTGAAATTAATTTTAAAACAAAATTAGTTATACTTTCAGTTATGAAACAATTATTTTTTGGTAAATGAATGTATGAATGATGGATCTAGTTGTTTCTATTCGGTACACCATTTTGGTATTCTTTCTCTACTTATTCAGATCATGTTCCGCCCCTAGTGTTTCATTAGTAACAAAGTTTGAATTTTGAAAAATACAATAAAAATTAAAATAAAATATCGGTTTTCTACTATTTATTACAGTTTAAAGTAAGTTATGAAATTAAATTTTTATTTTAGTGCCAAACAACTATATAGTTCTATAACTCAACTAGTTAATAATAAATATTTGTACTACTAAGTTCACAAAAAACAAAAAATTCACCCATTACGATTTTTTTTTTTTTTTTTGAACAATGATTTTAATGAAATATATTTAACATAGGACTTGAAAGAATATTATAAATAAATAAATAAATAAACTTGGGGGAAGCATAACTGAATTTTGGAGTTTGGGGGAGAAAAGTGTCACAAACTTATAAGTTGAAGGGGGTGAGGTAAAATTCAGGCAATTCACGATTTATAGTTTTAACTTGCAACATACTCGAATTCGGTATGGTAGGTAAGCACCACCACTACATTAAAGGAGTACGTCACTAGGTATCTATTCATTAAATTTAAATTTTGTTTTTAAATGGACTTTTGTAATTAGGCAGGAATTCGAACTCGAGTTATTTAACACGATACTTTTTTACTCTACAACAACTATGTAATTTTTACGGACTTTTTTTTAAGTAATAATTGCGATAAATAACTTGTGTTGATTGAGTTTAGAATAAATATAGAATAAAATTTCATGTTTAGTGAGAATAAATTTTATTTTTACCATTTGATCCAATTTTTTAAAATTTGTATATTTTTATAAATATATAGTTACAAATTTTGAAAATGTTGTAATGCATAATGTATAAAAATTATTTAGAAAACATAACTTATACATAAATCATATATTATATGAAAAGGTAATTGAATAGTAGAATATATATATATACATATATATATATATATATATATATATATATATATATATATATATATATATATATATATATATATATATATATATATATATATATATATATATATATATATATATATATATATATATATATATATATATATATATATATATATATATATATATATATATATATATATATATATATATATATATATATATATATATATATATATATATATATATATATATATATATATATATATATATATATATATATATATATATATATATATATATATATATATATATATATATATATATATATATATGTATATATATATATATATATATATACACATATATATGTATATATATATATA